CTGTTCTTTAAATTCGATATAACGTAATATAAATATTACAATTATGTAAAACTTATTCATAATTTTTCAAATAGATTTTTTTTAATAGCAGAGCAAAGTTTGAAAAATCATCATCTATTAAACTGTAGAAGTGAGTAAAAAAAACAATTGAAAAATTATGAAGAAGTTTTACAAATGAAGTTGCCCAAATTTGAAATATGCTACAACTATCTGCATCAAATTTTGCAATAATTTTAGAATCAATCCTTATAAGAACAAATTTTGAAACAAAAATTATCGATATACTCTCGAGTAAGTTTTTACGAAAAATAAATAAGCTGTTCTTTCAATTCGATATAAAGTAATATAAATATTTCAATTATGTAATTGAACGTATTATAATCGCTTTTATCTAATTGAGTTTATATCTGTACGAAAAGTCTCTTGGAAAAATAGAGTTAAGCGCCTTAGTGCGAATCAGAACGAAAATTTAGACAATAGTTGATACAAAACACCAATTGTTTGTTATTAATTGCAGATTGACAAATTTCGAACAAACTAGATGTCCTTGTGGCTGAAAATCCTGCTTATTTTACTATTAGCATTTGAATGGTGGATCTTGATTAATGCAAATGAATCGAATGATGATTTTAGTTATGGATTAAGAGTATCACTCAACGATAACTTCACTGTAGCTACCTTTAATAAATTTCACACATATGCTATTCGTTTTTTATCGAAAATGATCAATATAGAATGTGAAATTCGTTATCGATATCCTGAATTAAATGTTTACAGTCTTTCTGCTTTGATGATGAAACCAGAAAGTGATACATTCTCATTCGTGCAAATTAGCGAGAATACATCATCGCATCACGTTATACTAAGCGTAGTTACTTCTAACATAACCAATTGTAAGAGAAAAAATGAACCTACAATGCTCAATCAGATAGTATGGACACATGGTCATCAGGAATCCATATTATTAAAAGCTGATCCACAAGAAGAATATGCTTATGTTTTTGCCGATTCATTTGTCCTGTCCTACAACTTATTTACAAAGAAAGTAATTCAATCATTTAATAATACCTTCTTTGACGAAAATGTAGAAACATTCATTCCAAAAGCAGTTGATCTCACCAATGAATTGGCTATTGTAACTGGTTACAGTCCATATCAACGTTTTGATCTCCACTTATGGAAAATCTATCCGATTCAACTTCGACCTAAAATGGCATCCTTATGTCCTGTTTCGAACGCGTCTAGTATTATCGATAATATCATTCGCATGGGCAAATCTGACCAGACTCCGAAAAATCGAAATTATGGAATGTCAGTTTCGATCGATCCTTCAGGAAGGTTCACAGCATTCGGAAGTACCTTATTAAACATAGTACGAATTTATAAAATATCAGATAATAAGAATTGTGCGCGCGGCAACGTTACATTCGGTACAATAAGACCAAACATTGGTTCTAATATGCAAGATATAGGTTTTGGCCGTTCTATTGCTTGGCTTGATGATAAAGGCACACTTGCTGTCCTCGTATACAAGTCGACAAATCAAACTTGGTCAGAATCCGAGATATATGTGTTCAAAAATATTTCAACTAATTCTAATATTGTTGATGCTCAGCCCGACTTTATTCTCCCTAATAATCAACAAACGTTAGCACCATTACCAAAAGCATCTTTTCTTTTTATTCTAGCACATGCGAATAACTTGTTAATCTTACGTAATGATCATAAATATCTTTATGTTCCAGCTACGGAGGCAGGAAACTTACCTACACTAATCGACAGGTATGTTAAATATGTAATTTTTTTTAGAATTTGAATCAGTTTAGTAATTAGAGGTACCTATCAAATTAAAAATCTATCATTTCTTCACAAAAGTCAATCATACATTCTCTGCTAAGATAAATTCACATGTAAGACCAGCGGTCAGAAATTTTGAGAGATAAAAGCTAAATTCCACAGTGTCTATTATAGTTCATGACAAGACGAAAATTAAGAGATAAAAGTATTTCTTAGCATCATATATTGTGATCTACAAAATAATGAACAATAATCTGCTTTTATCTTTAAATAAGTTAACATTCATTATTAGTCAATATTTACAAAGTGGAAATAAGTGAAGTGTAATGGATGTCACCAAGTTCTGAAAGTAGATTTGATTAGTAGAAATTTTGTTGATCTCTAAGTTCGAACAGCTAATGAAGAATTTATAACAGAATGTGAGAACAAATAATATTTTCAATGAGATTTGTATTTTATCAAATAAAAATGAAATTCTCTTTCAGTTGGAAGTGTCATGCTTGTATTATGCGACTAAAACCATGCGTCAGTGGATCGTACAAAGATGCACCTGGTGTCGGTCCCTGCACAGTTTGTCCGCCAGGATTGAGGAATCCGGGCTATCGTCCATCAGTTCATTGTCAAGCATGCAATTTGACGTCGTTTTGTCCACGAGGTGCTTCCAATGAAGTCAATCTCAATGATTTTTTATCATATAATCAAACATTTTCATATCCGAATTCACCTATTATTGATAATTATGACGATCTATTAATACTTAACTTCTTGAACATTGATCACACAATTCATTGCATAGTCGCTTCACCACTTTTTTGGGCTGCTCTAGCTATAGTATGTTGTTTTATTATATGGTTGATTATGTGTCTTGTGAAAATGCGACGGATAAACGTTATGGATACTCATCGGAAACGTATCAAATACGTTCTCAAGAAATTTGATCTTTTCGGAGAAGGAAAACACTGGATAGGTGGTTTAATATCGTTTGTTATTTTATTTCTTATTATGTTTTCTTGTTGGTTTGCTTACGATTATTTTCATTCGTACCCAATAGAAACCGCAAAAACTTATCGTGCATTATGCAAAAACAATCAAATGAATACAAAATTCAGTAATGGTCTCCAGGTGCCATTACCAGCAGCAGATGGTACTCTTTGGAAGATTTTTGAAATGCTCAACCATCAAAATTTGACGATGACGGTCTATCTCATAAATACTAGAACACTATGTGATAATATCATCGTTGAACGCCTAAGATATAGGGGTACTCCTCAACTTTTGAAGATAAAAGGCTGCAACCTTTCCAATATCTATCCTGTTGTATCGTTCAGTGTTGATTTGTATACTCATACGGAAAATATTCAAGTCACAATCAATGGACCTCACTTTATAGGAGCTGTTCGACTTTGTCTGTATGGACCACAATTAATTGAAGATACTCTATCTGGAATTCATCGGTTAAGAGAACTTGATGTATGTAATCTTTTCTATACAGAAAATCAAACAATTGGACTTACGACCAATTTTAATGTACGTCTTATAAAAGTTATTAACATCACGGAACCATTAAAAGGAAATGATAGAATAATTTTCGATGGTAGATGGGCACCAACGACAAAATATGTCGATGATCTCTCAGACGAACTTTATTTTGAAAAAGATGGACAATACTTGCGATATGCTTCACATACTACAAAGTTTATCCTTCGGTTTAAAGAAGAAACTTACTTTCTTGAAAATATACAATCACCAATTATTCGACTTCAGGCACTTGTCTTTCATACACTTCTTTTCTTTTCATTACTTATCGAAATTGTTGGTATCCTCTTTCTCATGTTCAAACTCTGTTGTTCACCTCTTTTGCGGCTATTTCTTCCATCATTTCATGACAATTCTTTCAAATACGATTTACGAATGAATAAAATACAGTCTAATATCAACGTAAGCCATTTTCTTTTATACTTATTTCTTTGCAAGTTCTAAATAGGCTTTTGTCTTTTCTCTGTAAAGCTCTTTTGTTAAAAGCATCTTCTCATCGTTAGAGTTGAAAAAATTGAAAGCAACTAGGTATAAAAATCGTGGGCCATTTTTTCTCAATATTCGCATTATTCAGAACTAATAAAATTAGTTCAACTAGATATGGTAAAAGTAAAAGTTTATCCTTATTTTGTATTGAAATGTAATGTTTTTATAGCGTCTACGAAAAGTCTGTAATGTCAAGAGGTTTTTACTATGTTCTGAATTTTTCTTTTCAAAGAGTGAAAATCCTCAGTTCAATGATAATTTGGGATCGACAATAATGAACACCAGCGATGAAAAACTTCACTGTTGTTGTTGCACAAAGAACGACCGAAAAATTTTAACACGACCTGCTGGAACAGAACAATCAAGATCTTCATTTACTGAAATGATGAGTAAGTGTCTACGTTCGACAGAACTCACGAGTAAAAAATAATAGACTTTAAAATTCAACTTCTTTACTTCCTTGATTCTTCTTGTCCGACTACAATGTTGTAGTAGCCTTGAGACATTGTGAGAACGCTATTTAAAATTCATGTAAAAGATAATATAAGATTTAATAGTGCTCGACTACAACAAAATCAATCAAATTATCGAATATAATACACGATCATTACATCAGTAAGTATAAAGTTTCATTACAACTTCATCAGACATTGTTCTTATGATACTGGAGCCCCAATGATATTTTGCACCAATGTTTTTCAAAAATTTTCATTCATAGTGCATCGATGAGACAAATCTTTGCTTGTTACTTAAATGAATCTCATAGAATTTTTTTCTCTAGTTAAAAACTCTCTTCCGCCAACGACGATATCAACTACTGAAGTTGTTACCTCGCCTGAACATGCGAATTTTCAACGTTCATTTGAATATTTTGACAAAAGGCTTGATGCATTGCAGACCCAAATTGATGAACTAAATCGACAGATCAGTCATCTTCGGCAACGACCGACTTAAACTGAGCAAGATTAGTAAGAATAACAACGGCAATGGTTTTGATTTTTCTTTTGCTTTCAAAAATATCAGTAACGATCACAAGCATTTTGGGTGTGTGTACGAATGTCTTCTTGTCAAGCACATCGATACTGACACCCACACTCTAAATTGTGTAGTATTTCTTTTTTTTTTTCTATGGCTGTGAACTCCAGGTTTTTGATATTCTGTTAGCTTCACATCAATTTCATAATGCTTTCTTAAACATAGTTATTGGCACTCTTTCAAGCATTTACTTTAAACTGATGAGGGCATGGGATGTGGTTGGGTATGGCCCTGAGGTGTGGGTGCGGATGTGGCTGTGAGAGTGGGTCGTCTCTTGGTCGATACCCACACCCTACATTGTTGAAAGATAGTTGTATTCTTGAAGTTAAAAAATCAAAAGAAAATTTTCGAAAAAAACGCAAAAAAATTTCTTACCAACCTAGTATTCAATGCGTATTCGTTCTGTTTTCGGTTGTTTTTTGTTTGAAGCCCATACTTTGTGTTAAAAGATACGTCAACATTGCATAAATAACGAATATTGACATGTGACTGACATGAGTCGTCTTAGAATTTCATAGTGAGGTACGTTTATCATTTTAGAAGTTGCATTAAAACATTTCGATTCGAAATTAAATCAAATTTGTTAATCTGTTAGACCATGTCTGATGTTGTTCTGGAAGGGTGTGGGGGTGGGGGGTGGGTGGGGGGGGGGGGGGGGCTGTGGACTGTGGGTGTGGATGTGGGTGTGGGTGTGTGGGTGTGGCTGTAGCTGTGTGTTACGGCCTTTTCTCAATCCACACCCACATCCACACACCCACACCCACACCCACACCCACACCCACACCCCCACCCACCCCCACACCCCCACCCACACCCACCCCCCCCCCCCCACCCCCACCCCCACCCACACCCACACACAAACCCAAAACCAA